CTTGTTGCTAGAGTCTGGTATAAGTAAATATACTAGATCACCATTTTTAAATTCCTTCAAACTTTTGCGACGGTTAAAATAATATGCATAAGCTTCTTGTTTTTCCATGGCAGATAAAGAAGCGAGCTTGGATGCTTTCTCTAAATTTATCTTTAATTCTTGTAAATAATCAACTGCTGAATTACTCAGATTAAGAGGTAATGGTATTTCACCGGACCATGATGATTTTAACACAGCTAAGGGACCTCTAGCTTCACGACCGTACATAAGCATAAATGGAGATACACCTGTAGTGCAATTTGGAACTTCACGATACGCAAAAAGTAAATAAGGTATGTGCTTGTCCCAATTAACAGGATCTGTGCGAATTACATGATGTAACATTTGTTTAAATACCCGATTCCATTTTTCCACTGAGCCGTTTGATGCTGGGTAACCAGGTGTCGAAAAACGAGGATGAGTTCCTAACCTTTTTTCGAATTCTTGAGTTAACTGTGAGGTAAAATTAGTGCCTTGATCACTACTGGAATTTTTTTTTTTTTTATTAAATTATTTCTGGAATGCCGGTTCTCATAAAATTATCTAAAAGAGCATCACAAGTAGCTTTAGCAGAAAGACTTTTTAAAGGTATGACTTCTGGCCATTTTGAATGATTATCTATCAAACAAAAACAATATTTATGTTTCCTTCCTGAAGGCGATGAAATTTCACCAATAATATCTATATTTACTGTATGAAAGGGATATGGCGCGCGAACAATAGGAGTAATCGGAATTTTATCCGATTGTCTTTCCGGACTTTTTAATTGACATCTTTCGCATGTTCTACAATAATTTTCTACATCTTTGGATATGTTCGGCCCAATAAAATGAAAGCTTAATTCTTTCTTTAGTTTTTTCCTCATACCTAAATGATTTCCGAATATGGAATCATGAGCTAATTGAAGGACTTTATTTCGATAATTCTCGGGCAAAACTAACTGTTTTATGTTTTCCCACAAATTTTTTCTTTATGAAATAATAATTCGTCCTGTAAAAAGAAATTATTCTTCCCTAATTTCTGCGTCCTTAAAAGAATTTATTAATGTTTGGCAGTTTTCTCTGATCGACCTTAAACTTATTCGATTCCGAATAACTGTTTAGTCTTTCATCATCCTGATTCGCAACTGAGCTATAAAAAAGATTTACATTTGAGAGTTCAACGGTGCCAAACTCAAGTTGTTTTTGTTCATGAGTTTTCCGGTTTCGTTTCAGGGAAGACTGTTGATTCATTCTCGTCTTCAAATATGCGATCCCATACATCTGGTGTAATTAAACATTGAACATTGAGCTTATCTGTCAACGCGAAAAGAGCTTCTACGCGCGAATATAGACAACTATTTGGTTTTTTGTAATAAATGGGAATAGTTGCTAACGTTGCCTCTATGACGTCGCCAAATGCGGAACTTAAAATGATTTTACCCTTACTTTCTATTTTTAAATCAGGAATTAATGTAGTGTTCAAAATTGGTATTTCCGTACCTGAATCTTTTATAGCTTCTACTTGCTTCCCTGCAATGTAAATAGTAATCTTTTCCAAGGAATAAAAATTAAGTTTTCCGTCGGAACACGCGTTTTTGTAAATGTTTAGAATTTACATTTGTAACAACCGCATTGTCCTTCGGTTTACTTGAAGTGTTAACTTTCGGTTTGACCGGAAAATTATTGTTCTGTTTATTGGACCTCTCAAATTTATTTCGCCTGTTCGGGCAATTCTTAGCCAAATGTAAACTGCTACTATACACATAACATTTTCGCGGTTTAAACGACTATTTCTGTTCATTTACCACTGAATCTTTTCTTAGTGCTGGTGGAATATATTTAGAGTTTTTGTTGCATGAATCACGAAAATTAGTGCGTTTTTCACCTCTTATGTCATCAAATGATTTACCTTTTGCGATAAAATAAGATGATAAATAATTCCTTCGCTAGTTCTTCTGGACGTAGCCAACTTTACACCTTGTCGAACTGCAACATGGCACGCTAAATCACTATCCAGATGTTTGAAAAATTTTGTCAGAAATTATTAAGTTAATTAAAGACTCAAAATCATTGACGTTATCTACTTTTACAATAATGGATCCAACGTGATCTTAAACGAGAGGCGAACTGCAAATGAGTTTCCTCCAGTCAACCTTTGAGCTTGGCGAAAACTTTTCTAAACATATAATTGGCGATGGTTCATATTCCTTAAGAATTAAAGATTTAATTTTTTCATAATCTTTCAAATCATCATCTTTAATATATACTAGAATATTAGAAGATTTATCACCTATCAGTTTAAGTAAAATTTCAGACTTAAACTCATTTGGTACGTTCTTATGCTTAAAAGCCCTTTCTATGGAATCAAAAAATAAGTTCCATGCTTCACCCTTTTTAGGTACAGAAATCGATAATGCCTGTACAGCTTTCAAAAGCTTATCTAATGAAAGTGTATTTTCTACGTTGTTACCAGATTCGTTGCTACTTTCGATTTGCATCAAATGCAATTTCACAATTTCTTCTGACTTTTTCCTTTCTTCAACCGTAGTATTAAGAAATTCAATAACAAAACCTTTATCTTTCAAATATTCTTTAGAACTTAAAAGCTTATCTTTTAATTCTACAACTTTTAAATTAGAATCGGCTTCTTCACCAATTACCTTCAACACCGAAATCAAATCACTTTTAACTACTCCCTTAAACATATTTAGAAGAAATTATCGTTAAGGCACAATAAGGAAAACGAAACAAACATTTATTAAAAATTAACGTTCAAAGAATAATGGTAAAAAAATTAATGTTCAAAGAATAATGGTAAACTTGGAGGACTACCTGCTCCTACTAGATAGTTAATCTACCACCTGCCTCCTCTGAGGCTAACATGCAACTGTCCTCTCTCACTTGCTGGGCTCTGCCAGGCAGCTGATTGGCTCACCACAGCCAGGTACATGACAAATACTCTAAAGGATCTATGTAAAAATACAGTGACTAAATTGAAATTGTCAAATTTCATAAAATATGTATCTGCACATAAAACAAATTTATATATTGATTGTGTTTAAAAATTTCTTTGTCTGTCTTAAGAAAAATTATGGTGTTTATGATATTCTGTTAGTAACATATTTTTATCCATGTAAGTAACGTGTTATATTTTGTTTTACAAAGTATGTAATAATGTGTTATTTGTTTGTGTAGCTGGTAAATCTCACCAGCTTCTAGACTTTAAGTTCATATTTTAGCTGTTAATTCTATTTAAAGCTATTTCAGGTAGTATGGGGGTTATCGTATAGTCTGTAGTGCCATATATTCCGTAAAATACGGTAATTTTCTATCTATGCTGGATGCTTAATTCATCTCAGCTTATATTATTTTTGACATTTTAAGTACATGGACACCTAAATTTATTATTTTAAGTATTTAATTTTTTATCATTTTTGGGTAGAAAATGTATTTTTAATTTCAGCTATTTTTTTAATTATTAATCCTTGTAGTAGTTAAAAAAATTAGAATTTTTTTATTTTAGGTATTTAAATTTTTTATATGATTGTCCTCATCATTTTAAAATAATATTATTTTGTCTAAAATTACTAAATGTATATTAATTTTATGCATATCCTTATTTTTAAAAATAATTTATTTTTAAGTCTGCCTTTTTGTTTGAGAAGTCATACATATGAAGGCACTAAAATAATAATAATAAGTCTCTGTTGTTAAATAATAAGGAATCTGCATGTATGTATGTCTGCTCCTCATATTGTGGAAAAATTGCTACATCTAGAGCTGTCAAATTTTAAACGGAAATAGTTCTTCATTCAAATGTGAACCTTGATGTCTGAGTTTTTGATTTTTTTATATATTTAATACTTTGTGTGAATTTAATGCATTTTTATTAGCAAACTCAGCAATTTAAAAGCAAAGTGTTTCTACTCTTCAAAGTGCAAGATATTTACATTTCAGATTTAATCAGAAAACTGAGCAATTTAAAAGAAAAGTACCGTTTTATAAAGCTTAAGATATTCATTGTTCAAACTTAATCAATAAACTCGACAACTTAATAGAAATGTGTTGTCACTGCCTGATACTTATCTTCCACATGTCAGCATGATTTTTATTTTTAATGTATGTAATTTTTCATTGAAATTCAATCAGTCTGTTACACGATTAACAATATAAGCATTCTAAAAGCAGTAATTGCAGCTTTTCTTCTCTATTATTTTTAATTACTGGCTGCAGTCCTTAAAATCACGATACATATGTATATATATATATATAAATTCAAAATAAAAGTAATGAGTAAATTAAAAAGCTTATGACCTGCGCTAAAGTTGTTTCCTGTCTTCTCTAGGAAATAGAATCATTCTTATGAATCAGCTTGATACTTAATTATCAATGAGAGAAAATAAAATTGGAATCTTCTTTATTAAGTAAAATGTAATTGCATTATTTATTATTTTGTAAAGGGAATTTTCTATAATAATTGAATTTCTGTTTCTTTGAGATGGTATATGTTTTCTTATTATAAGTTACTCGTTTATATATATATTTTCTTTTTTATATTAACTATTTTTCATGAATAAAGTTCAACTGTGTTCTAACTAAACTATTAAACTATATTCATACCAAGATATGATTGTAGTCACAAATTCAGCATTTTTGTACTTGAAAATTTATCGGAAATGGAGAATAAACAAATCATTTGGGAAGCAACGAAAATATCTGAAGGAATAAAAGCTTAAATCCTTTCTTTATCTGTATATGCATGCATACAATAAAATTTCTGTAGAAATAAGGTAATTACAATTCTAAAGCCAATTTCTTTTAAAAAATTATTATTATTTGTTTTTGTTTTCAAGTAATTTTTATGAGATGACATATTAATTGTCTTATGATTTACAGTGAAATAAGGAAAAAACTATTATAATTACAGTTGGAATTACTTTTTTGATACTCTAAATTTATAATCAGGCACTCATTTTATAGGTTTTATTTGCCCTGTTCAAACTCCTGAAGGAGAAAATACTGGTCTATATAATCAATTGACAACAGGAACTGAGGTAATACATGTTAAAGTGCATCTACAATTCCCCCACCATTATTTGATGTTTTTCATATTTTGTGCGTATTAATCATTTAAAGCTTTGGGAGGAGATTTAAAGCATTATAAGTTTTAAAAAGGAAAACTATTTTTAATGATACTGGTTTGCTGCTCTTTTCGTGACAGTTGAAGGAAATTTTAAAATTAAATTGTTCTTGCGATTTTCTAACTGAAATAACATTGATAGTGTTTTTTCTGTAGCACCGGTTTATTTTACTTCAGATATTTAAATATTTAATTAAAATATACTTCAGCATTAAGTTCATAAATAGTTGTAAAAAAATGTAATTTCTAATAAGTAAAAAAAGTTAATACGCGAAAAAAATTTTTATTAAAAAAAAATAAATGAATAAATTAAAATTAGGATAAAAGCCTATATCTTTTTATCCTAATTTTTTCAGAATTTAAAAGTGTTAGACTTATATTCATTAAATTTTCTCTAGGAAGTAGAATCATTTTTATGAATCAGCTTGATAATTAATTATCAATGAGGAAAATTAAAATTGAATTCTTCTTTATAAAAAAAAATGTAATTGCATTATTTATTATTTTGTAAAGGCAGTTTTCTATCATATTTCGAATTTTGTGTATAAAGCTTAGATACTAAGTAAGAAAATGATTTTTATAAGAGATAATATTTTTTGTATAAAATTGTCGATGCAGAATGTTGAATTTATATGTATATATTCTATATATCTTTAAAGGAAATTTTGAAGTATATTTTAGTTTCCATTTTACTTTGCCTTAAATAATTGCCTAAGTTGGTTTTTATGTGTAAAGTGAATTGTTTTAAGTTTGCTTGAGAAAAAAAGTTACTGTATTCTAATATGATACTTATTTCAGAAGTAAAAAGTCCAGGAAGTTTAGTTTTCCTGTTTCAAAAGTAAAAGACATTTGGCTATTCCTCCCCCCCAAAGAAAATAAAGAAAAAGAGAAATTTTAATTACCGTTTCAAAACTTGGCTATCCCTCATTATTTTTTCTATGTGTTCAGTATTAAGTAATTTTTATGGGAAAGAACAAACTTTTTTTCTAATTTGTTCATTAGTTTTCGAGCTGGAAGCTGGGCCAGATCGTATTTGTGCTTTCAAATCATCAATTTTTTATTGCAACATTGAACAGGAAGTTAGTTCATGATGTGAAATAGGATGTAGAAATTTGCTAGTGCAGTTTAAGGATATTAAAAGGGTTAATTAAATATTTTGCAATAAAACTTCTAATGACATTGTGGATTTGAATTTAGAGGTACATGTTGCCATGAGAAATAATTCCCGAGAACTGTATTTCTGATAGCCAGTTCTGAATGCCTTATCTCTTTTATAAAGTTATTTTTCAATATATCCTATAATTCACAATTTTTTAAACATGTTTCATACTAGATTTTTACATTGATACATCTCCACTTGCCCTTCACTCTTTAGAATCTACCAGAAGAACACATTTTTATCCTAGAAAATCGTACTCATGATCTTATATTCTTATTGAGTTTACCTAATTTTTTTCTCTCTAGGGGAATTTGAAAAATGCCATTCTTATTTTATTATGACATTTTTGTTGAAAATCTACATTTAATCACCAGGCACTAGAACAATATTACCTATTTTAGCATCTAAGAGTGCATTTATAGAAACTCTTTTTTTTTTTCTCATTTATTATTTTCAAGTAATATATTGCACATAATGTTAAAGCTTAAATTTATGAGCTCTGTGCTTTGTAACATATAAAGTATATGGAAATTCCATGGCAAAAACTTTTAATTTTGAGGTTGTGTTTCTCTTAAATCTCTGCATTTGCTTGTTCTTCTTCCATTTCAAATATTGATACAGTCTTCCTAAACTCGCATGACCGCTGTCTTAACATTTCTTTATTCATACTATATAATCATAGATTTAACACAATGTACAGAGAATTTCACTTGTATTAAAATCTTTCACTCTGAAAAAATCAGATTACAGACTAGATTTCATAATAAATGTTCTAATTTATTTTCACAGCCATTGTAACTTATTCTTATGGAATGACAAATGAGACTAGATAGTAATAAATAACTTTTAACTAAGATAATTAATAACTGTTTGATGAAGCTACTTGAAAAAAAATCCAACCAGTAATTGTCCTTTTTTTTTTTTTTTTTTTTTTTAAATTTTCCTTTGGATCTTACTTTTGAAACAGGCTTTGTAGTATGCGTCATACGAAATCCGAGAAGAGTTTTTAAAATAAATATTAGTAAAAGAGAAAATAAAAAGCTTAATATTTATTTTTTAACTGGTCATTCATTATAACTTTACTGAACCTCTCTTTTCTTTTCAGGTTGTCAGTTTCTCCTCAGAAAAACTTGATGTTATTAGCCTGTTTAAAATGGGCATCATCCCATTTTGTGATCCAATTTTAGAAACAAAATTGCCTAGATATGTTGTTTATATTGATGGAATTATTTTTGGTTTTGTAGATGCTACATATGCTCAAAAGTTTGTTGCACATCTCCACCATAAAAGGAGCAATAGAAATAATATGGTAATTAATAAATTATACCAGAGTAATTTTTTAGTGAAATATCTTTTACTAGCATACAAAATTAAGAGTATTATCAGGTATTTTTATATATATTAGTGTTTTTTTTCCCCCTTCAGTTTCCTTTACGAACAGAAATTGTGTTCATTGACAAAAAGGAACCGCAGTTTCTATATCCGGGTATATATATTTTTTCATCACCATGTAGAATGGTAAGAAAAATAAGAAACAAGCTGTCTGGGAGAAAGGCATTTATAGGAACTTTTGAACAAATGTGTGTGAATATTGCTGTACAAGAGAAAGAGGTTTGCATAATATAACAAATTTTAGCTTAAAACTTAATGATTACTTTTGTTTTGTAACTAATTAGAAAGTTGAGTTTAATTTTATGCCCTCAGCATAAAATTTTTACCTTAAAATTAAACTATATAATTAATTTTCTTTTTTGTAACAATTAAATTTATGTTATGGATATTTCTTTTAGAACTCAGTTTATATAGAGAGAAAATTCACTGATATACTTAGTATTGCTGCTGGCCTGATACCCTTTAGTGAATACAACCCAGGCACAAGAAATATATTTTCAAGTGTGGTATGTATTTAATTTTATAATTTTAATCAGTTTATCAAAAGCGCATTTTAATGAAAAATTTGAATTGAGGAAAACTAAAATTATGCTTGAGCTTCATGACCTCCATTCTCTAATATGATATAATTCTAAATCCTGTGTTAAAGAAAACCAGTATCTAATGTGGTATGGTTCTAATTACTTTCTCATGAAAACATTGTATCCTAAATAGGTAAGATCAAACTTCTGGATGCTAATCATTAACACATTTATCTAATTTGTGAAAAAGAATTAAACAGAAGAGATAGTTAGAGGCTAAATGAACGAGAAACAGTGCAATGCCCTACACTTCTGTTTTGTATTTCAGTCAATAAGGGGGAGTGTTATTTTATATGTTCTTCCGGTTCTGAATACAAAACATGCTCCCATGTTCTGTATGCAGAACCCGAAGAACATTTGCCTGTGTTCCAGTTAGTGATCGGAAACACTAACAACACATCTCTGGGAGATGCTAACAGGAGTAAATGTATAGAAAATAAGGTTTCTTCAGTAATGCAGAGTATGAATAAAATGTTCATAAATTAAATAACTGCACATACTAATTTAGGATCATTTTTATGAAATATAATAATTTGTCATCAAGTGGATAAGTGAAGATAAGGATAGTGTTGACAGATCAACTTCCAATTTATTGCGCGGCGCCGCGGCGTTAAAGCTAAACAAAGTTAGATAAACAAACATTAAAGTTTAGATAAACAAAGATATGCTTTATCAATTTTTGCAGCAAGCCACTTTTTGTTTAATGGAATCGAACATGCTTCCTTTGTAGACCAGCATCAGAAATTCTATTTGACTATAGAAAGTCAAGCTTACTTTTATAAATTGCTCTAACAGTCTGCAAAAAAAATAAGCCGCATCCATTCGAAGATTAAGGAACAGGCAATCGCAACGTAACGAATTAGATAATTTTAGCTTATACCGTCGTTTTACATTAAACGCGCATTCGTAAACGTATTTTGTGCACGCGCACACTCATATTTGCAGCCGTAAAGGTCTTACGCGTATGCGTCAATGTGTCGCATGCGCAGAAGGTTTGTACCTTTGAGGTCCGGATTATGGGTGTCCAAATTAACGACTTTTGACTGTACTATAATTCCAAGGTTCGTACGGTCCTTAAGAGTCCTTAAAAGTCCTTAAGTTTTTTGGAATCGATTTTTGGTCCTTAATTTCCGCCAAAATCGGCAGAAGGTCCATCATTTTAATCATCTGAAATTTCTGTCTGTTTTAACGACTGCCATTTTGAATGTGAATTAGCATTTTGGAGAAATATTTTTGGCGATTCGCTGACAGATATCGTTATTTTTGAATGGGTGAATGCGTTCATGGGTTATAATGTGTTAATATTTCTAAGTAAATGTTGGGATAGAGTTTCTGAACAAAAGGTGAAACATAAGCATTTCGAAATTATTTAATTTTTTTCTAATGAAGAGCTCTTAAACAACTTTTTGCTTTTGGGAATGTGAATTTTTTTATTAAGTGGCTCAAAATTTGGCGATTTTAAGATTAGTTTTTATAGAGAATTTTTTATTCCAAGATCTGGGAATTTTTTGACGATTTTTTTAGAACATTGTAACATTGATAAATTTCATTAAAATAATGGTAATATATTGTAATTATATTTAGGAAATAACATTAAATTAAGGCATTTTTATTTTTCGCTGTCGTATCATAAAGTTCCATTTTGGCCACTTATTATGCAATATTTTGAATCTGAAAGATGAGGGTATAAAGCTATAAAGCGCAATTTAGGGAACAGTCCTTAGCAAAAGCAAAATAGCTATGTAATTAATTAAAAATGTCTTTTCCTTTTTCATGGTAAGAGTTTTCCCGTGTTATAGTCTTAGAATATTTAGAATTCTCAAAATATGCGTCACTTTTCTCTATAAAATTAATTTTACACTTTTTCCCCTCCAATTTTTTTTTTTTTTTTCCCAAAATATTTTTGGCTTTTTGCTGTTACCGAATTGGTAGAGGTAATTTTTCTGCTAGGATTTTGGGCATTGCAGCTTGGAAAGTTTAGAAAGATTTGAAGGCAATACACCCACGGTTCATGATGTATCACTAAATTCTAAAAATTCTGCCACACCAGCTCTGTAACCGGACCTTACCATAAATATTTCATTAGAGATAAGAAGTAGTTTATGAGGCGAGGAGAAGTACAATCGTACTCATATGTCTAAAGAAATTAAATTAGCAGCTTTCTCTATCCATTCTAAATGCATTTAGTGATTTGAGAATAACAAAAATCTTTAATTAAATCCAAAAATTCTAAAATGAAAAGGAAACGTGGAAGAAAGAAACTGAATACATAACGAGATAGAAAATTATTCTTCAAAGATGTGTGCAGATATTATTAGGTAAATTACCTAGTTGTTTACAATTTCGGCCTTTACTATAATTTCCCATTTATATTTTCTCACCAGAATGCAAATCACTTAGACAGTTTGTAAACTGAGGTTTTTGGAGTGTATGACAAAAGTGTGTTTCTGATCTCCACTTGCTCCTTGCATTATTTCCTGACAACTCTAATAATTTGTGATTATTCATCTTTACATTACCGCTGCCGACATTTGAATTTGGTATTACGATAGTTACTGAGCCAGTTTAAAATGGAATTAAATTGTATAGTCTTTGATCAATCGTCCATATTTTTAGTTTGAATTTGATTCGTCTTGCTTAATTACATCACTACGAGCTGTAATTGATTTTATTAGCATAAGAACATACCTTTATGTTCCAAGTTCTTTTTAAATAAGAAGCTTATTTAAACCTTTGTCTGACTTCGTAGTTACTTTCAGACATAGCAATATTTTTTTTTTTTTTTTTTTTTTTACATCTGTCGGGGGGTTGGACTATTTAACTTTTACCAGATCAAGTAAACCCTCATAGGTACATTTTGGAGAAGTTGATAGGTTTTGGGATAAAACACGCAGAAACTAGTGAGAACATTGTCTTGCATATTGAGACAAATTTCTAACTGTTAGAAAAGATGCTTAAAGAGAGGAGAAATCGATATAAATTAGCCAAAATGTCTGGGAAGGCTTCAAATTGAAAAAGATGCATAAATATTTTGTTGAGTGTTCTTGTTACAAAACATTAATGTTTTGTAGCTTTTAATGTGTAATTGGCCTAATATCGTTTAAGAATCAATGTCATAAATTACCTGTATTTTAAACTGTGAAATTTTTTTAGTTTGTGATTTTAAAAAGGCTTTTTTTAACAAATATTGTTAAAAAATAAATAACATTTAATAGTGCCCATGTAAATCAATAATGATTAAGGTTGTCTAATACCTAATTTAATTATTTATAACTAACTGCTTACCTTTAAAAATTATCTCTCATATTAAAGCTAGTTATTGCCTTTCATTAACCCTTACTGTGGTCACAAGATAAAACACAAAAATATAAAAATTTGCATAAAACCTACTCTTCGCATCTAGTGAGACTTAAAATAATACAAAACAACTTATCGCCTCTGGTGTTTTAGTTGATTATTAGAACCTTAAAGTATATTAACTGAGTTACAACCCTGGAACTCTACAGAAAGCTACGACGCTAACTGCATCAGACAAAGCCCAGCTGACTTTTAAAACTTGCGCACCCTGCTAACACCAGGCCTTTCAGGTTTGCTCTGATCAGCACGTCTCTCTCTAGGCAAGCAAGAATGGTGACAACAGCCAGTCTTTTGTTTTGAATCAAACTGATTGTGATTTTACTTCCCATTTTAACCTATGTCACTTCACATAAAATCTACTTACTATTTACCAAACCTCTAGACTGATCAAGTATGTGACAAAATGAGTCATTAAAAAAAAAAAAAAAAAAATCATCATAAAGCTAACTGTAAGTAAAACCTAAATAAAATGTCATGTATCTTCTTTCAAATATGTCCAATTATTACAAGTGTAAAATATCTAATGCTACTTGATAAGTTTCATAAAGTTTATTTTATTCTCAAACTTATTAATAATTATGTTAATTAAGTTATGTTTGGGAATAATGCATACTACTTAGGGATCTATTGTATTTGTAGGATGGATATTACAAAAGTGAAATTTCAATGCATAGATAATATTTTTAATTGAATTTTTTCAGTTCCCATTTGCTCATAGGTCCTTATTTTTTCCATTATTGGTTTTTAAAAGTCCGTAAAAGCACTTAATTTCCGTGTGCAGAAATGTGTATGAAACCTGAATTCAGGAATTCAAGAATGTCTGAATTGCTCAGCTGCAATTTCAAATTACCCCTTTGTTGGTCTAGATTTTTTGTTAAAGGATTCAGATATTAGGAACTGACAATTATACGTATAATTTTTTTTTTTGTTTGTTTGTTTGTTTGTGAATAAATTTTTATCCTTTACATCCAATTCGGAGAAGTTAAAGCAATTATTTAAAAACATTTTTATAAAAATAAATAACATTTTTCTTCAGAATATGAATAATTTGGCTTAAATAGGAGTCTAGTCAATTTTAATATGTTCATTTCATTTTAAAAAGTAATCGTAATTAAGTATTTTGTTTGTAAGTGTAAAATCCCAGAAATTGGCATACTTCATTTTCTGCATATATTCATTTCAAATACAAATGACTTCAAACGACTGAAAATTCAGATATTTTAAAACTTCTTAATTTATCTTATCTTAACAGTTATATTTTCAGTAAATTCATACTTTAATAGGTTAATATTAGGGACAATATCCATGTTTAACTTACAATCACAGTTATATCATGAATAAAAAAAGAAAAAACTTTTTTAAAATTAAGTTAAACAAAAAGCATAGGCAACAGGATTACATGTACTGTTACAGTTAATAGATAAATGCTGTTAATAATAAAAATGCATTTTCAAACTGTTTAATCTAAGGAATAAGTTTATTTGATTATGTAAGTTAAATCAATTTTAAAAAGTGTCATTGAATTTAAAATCATTTAAAAAGTTTATTAGACCTTTTTATATTTTATT